AATTCATATGTACTTGTAAATATGCCTAAAACACATCTTTCATGATGACCAGGAAGCTGTGGATGGTGATTCAGGTTGGAGATGGATCCTGGGATAAGATGGGAAAGGGAGCTTTTATTTTTCAGTTTATAGCCATCTGTACTAAACATTTCTTTTCCTTTACCTCAAATGAATACTATATGCTTACATAACAAAAAATAATCAAGATATTTAGAATAATATAAAGAAATAAAGAATATTATAGCTTGGAGGAAGGTTCCCAAACTGGCTTCCAAAAGTCCATTTAGTTAGTCAAGTATCAGAGCAATAGTAACAGTGATCATTAGATACCACCTGCTGTGTGATCTGTTTCTATAGAAAACCTCACCTCAAGCCACAGAAATGTTTCTTCTTGCTCTTTCTTTCCACTTGTTCCACTCTCCAACATTGACCTTGAAGTAGGAGCTGGGCCTCTCTTTTGCTGTCTGCAGGGGCCATGATAGCAGGATGCCTACTGTCCACTTGAGGCAGGAACCAAAGGCACTCTGGTACATTCCAGACCACTGTGTAGAAGGAAAACGAACATTCATTAAGTACCCACTGCATATTGTACACTGTACCAGGTCTGTCTCATACCTAACTTATTTTCCCACTGCCAATGATTCAATGAGATAAATCTTATTTTCTAGGAAACTGAGGCTCTAAGAGAGTAACATCCCTGAGAGTTCACCCCCTTAATAACTGATGGAGCTGAGATGCAAGCCTAAAAACTTGTATACTCTCCATTATAGCTTAGTGATCCTCTAGTAGAACCATCTCTTTGAAAGAAACCCGTAAGTCAAGTGTGAAGAGGCTCTTTTAGACATTGTCCCAAGAGTCAATAAGGCTCTCTATCATAGAATGCCTTATTAGATGGTGAAGTTCATGAGGGTCCTGATCATCTCTGTATCTGCAGTGCCTAGCACAGTGTTGAAAGCATGGTAAATTCTCAATAATTAATAAATTGATTAATAAGAAACATTATTGTTTGCTCTACTTCATAAGATAGAAAGTTGAAATCTTATATTTTAGGAACAATTTCAACAGCAAATATTGAAACAAGAAAAATGCTTTCTCATTAACCTCCAGTTGATTAGAAAATTCAAATAACTAAAATGCTACAAAGAAAGCTCTTTGTTTACAAGTCATCGATGTATATGAATAAACTGAAGGGGGAGTCCATTGTAAATTTTTGTTTGGCAGAACAATAGTTTGGACAGGCTCTAGAACCTACTCACCCTGTGAAATATTTGTGATGTTCTTTGTCTTACTTTTTTGTTGCTGTAACAAAATATGCAAGACCAGGCAATTTATAATGATTATAAATGTACTTGGCCCATGGTTCTGGAAGCTGGGAAGTCCAAGAATGTGTTGGATAAGGGCATTCTTGCTGTTTTGTAACATGGTGGATGGTGTCACATAGAGAGGCAGAGCAAGTATACTAGTGTGAGTTTCTTTTCCTCTTCTTATGCAGCCACTAATACCACCATGGGGGCCCCACTCTCATGACTTCATCTAATCCTAATTACTCTCCAAAAGCCCACATCCAAATACCATAAACATATGTATCTGGGGATTAAGTTTCCAACACATGAATTTTGAGGGGTCACATATGATCCATAGCACTCCTCATCGGGGGAAAGCTTGCTGCCATATAACCAACTTTCAAGCCAACCATTAGAACACAACTGAAAGGCAAAGACAATGAACATTCCCCTTAATTTAAACATACCGTGTGGTTAGTATTTTTCTTTCAGGAATTCAGAGTTGTCAAAGGAAAGAAAAGAGGCCATTTGTGTCAGCTGTAAAGGCACATGGCATTCAATAATAATTAACTTTATTTTTACAATGTCACAGTCTCTCTACTAGAGCTCAAAGTGCATCAATTTATTGTAATCTCACCACAGTTAGATATTAGGTATGAGAATTATTTCCATTTTCACAGAAATGGAGGCTGGCAGAAATTAAGTTACCAGTTAATGGTGGAGTTGGGCCTAGAATCAAGGTCCAGCTGGCCTCAAAACCCTCTCTATTCTGACTTTCTTTGAATACAAAGAGCATTTATTTCTTGATATAATGGGAAAAACAAGGAGACTTATCTGCAGACAGTCCATCAGACCCCATACACTCATGGGAACAGTGGGTTAAAAGCTGCTGTTAGAACCAAGAGCTGACCATTGGAGGCAATGCAAGGCTATTCTTGTCTTTGACAAGAGTTACTTTGGTGTATGGTAAGGTAGAATCCTCCCTGGGTTGCTTTTAAGAGCAAAAGGAAGAATGAACACTACAAGAGTAGACAATTGTTTTGATGAATTTTGTTATAAAAGACAGTTGAGAATTTGAGTGGTGTCTAGAGAGAGATGTGGAATCAAGGAAGGATTTTGTTCTTCTTAAAGATATGAAATTAGTATGTTGTACATAGCTGGGAATGGCCTAGGACAAAGGAAAGCAAAGTGGAAAAGGGAAAAAACCATGTGAATGTGTCTGACCCGCAATGGAGTTGGCCTTGGATGGAGTACAGATGATTCATTCATAGCAACAGGAGAGCTGGAGAGTCAATAAACCAGGCCAACATAGACTGATTGTTGAGATGCACCAAGGTCCACTTGAGTTAAGTTTTATTTTTAACAATTGAACAGCATGATTTTTGAATCTCCAATCATGTTTTACTGAGTACAGACAGAGAGAAAGAAGAGAATTAGATTTTACCAGAATTGTGGGGCAGAGGGTTGTTGTTTATTTTTTAGGTAAAGTATGGAAAGAGAGAGGAACATGAATTTGAGGGTAAATGTGAGAAATAATAGCAATGAATCTGAAAACTAAGATCATAAAGACAGTGAGAGACAGAGAAAAGGTCATGGAAGAGGTAAATTATAGATGTTGTTAGGGTCAAGGAGACACCAGGGTAAGACAACAGAGGCAATAAACTAGGATGGTAGGAAGTGGTGATTGGAGAGCAGAATGCTTGACATTGACATTAAGAATGGTGTTTCTATGAAAATAGGTGGCTAGCCTGGTGGAGAAGGTCAAGGATAGGAGAGGATGTCATAGTTGAGAGACCAGAGTGTGAGAAGAATCCACTATGTCCATATGGAAAAAAACCGAGAATTTCCATGGGAATGTTATTGGGGCAACTGACAGTGAGCCACATGCCAATCCCTTCCAAGAAGGAGTAGAATAACTGAAGAGTTTGTGGATGGATGAAATAAAGAGTGGCAAATAATATGGTCTATTCAAGGAGAGTCAGATTTCAGAGCAAGAAATTAAAAAAAAAACAAAAAAACATTGAGAGGAGGACTGAAGATCAGAAGATTTTGCCAGTAATGAACCATGAATTGCAAAGAGCAAATGGAAAGATTCTAGGAGGTGGAATAGGAAGGAGTAATATGTGCAAATATTCACTCAAGCATATTTGATTATTGGATTTTGAAGATTTGATTATCAGGAGCAGGACAACAGAAGAGGATGGAGAGATAGGCTAAGCAGTTCAAGAATGGCTGCCTTGGTGGAGGACGGCCCCACCTCCCTCAGCTCAAGAGCAATGCTGGCTGAAGTGCTTCTTTCTGTCCTCCATGGGATTTGGAAACTGAAAGCTGCGAGTGGAAAACCCGGGGTGGCTAAAATTGTACGGGTTGAAAACTCATTGTTACAGATCTGGGCTGCTGTGGCTGGTGCTCTAATCATTTTGAGACATTGGACCTTTTGAGACAACAGTGTGGACTGTTGCCTTTCCAACTGTCAGTCCTCCAAAAAACGGAGAAAAGACATCCATGCTTACTCCTTCCTTGCCCTTGACCCCTCCTCGGGGTTATCAGCTGTGAGGTTCTGTCTCCAGGGTAAGTCCTAAAATACCCGGGCCCTGCCTGGCAGAGCAGTTACAGCCAGTCCTGGGGGGAAATACACAATGCATCTGTCCATATTATCCAGGCCATTGACCCAGAGAGGAAGATTCCCATAATGTGACACTAATGACTTTATGTCTCTCAGACCCTAACTTCTGTATACAGAAGTTACATCCTGTATTTGAAACCTATTAAAAATCAATGGAGCAGTGCTCCCCTTCCCACCGCAATCACAGCGCTGTGAAGTCCTCCATAATTGCTTCCCTACCTGAGAAGTTGACATCGTATTATTTCATCTTGTTGAACCAGGTGGTTTCTTAAGAGGAGGAAGTAATGTTTGGACTGGAGTTAGAATATAGGTTCAAAAAGGAGAAATCATGCAGCGTAATTAAGCTCCTCCTCCCTTGTTGCAAGACAAAATTCAAGCTCTGAAAATACAACACCTCTCAAGAAGTCCCAGAACAATTGGAAGAGAGCAAATGCAATACATAAGAGCAGGGAATAGTTTTTGAACAGGTTATGCTCTAATTATTAATAAATGAGCAAAGGATTTGGAGTGGGGGAAAACAACCTCCAACAGGGAGTCGGAAGGCAGCGCGCGCGCCGCTGCAGAGCATGACAGCCACGGTCGCTTAGCAACAGACGGGGATGCGCGCGGGATGCTCCGCAGGGTGTGAGCTGGTGCCTGGCGCAGCAGCAGCAGGTGCCGCGCATTCCCAAGCCTTCCGGATCTCTGGAAAACTTTGAGGTTTCTCAGCGCTGGAGTGTCCGCGCCAGGCCCCAGCCGACACAGGGATGCGCCCAGACGGCTGAGGGTAGACGATGGATCCACGAGCCCGCGCACCCCGCGGGGAAAACAGCAGATTAGGTTTAGCGCCCGCAGAAAGTTATCGCGCATCTGCTAGTACCTGGAAGATGCATGATCCCTGGGCCGAATTGCCCCCAAATTTCTTTATCAATTCCTTACCTTCAGTAGATCCAGCGGTCCAAGTCCCTAATGGACTCTGGTTCACGGATTCTGATAATGAGAGAGAGAAACCCAGGCTTTTCTAAGGGACTTGCTTGTTAGCTGATGCCTAATCGATTTGCCTTGAATGGTCGCGCTTCAGTTTTTGTTTTCTGCCTTTCTTCTTCCCCCAGACAGTGAGTTTGTGGACGCCTCCCCCGAGTCTTACAGCCCGGAGGAGTTAGGTAAGTCTTTAAAATTTAATTTCTTTTTTCTTTTCTTTTTCTTTTCTTTTCTTTTTTTCTTTTTTTTTTTTTCTGGAAGAAATCCCGCGGAGGGATGGATAGAAAGTGTCAAGGACACTGGGCGGCACGCACGCTCCATTCTTGGACAGAAAGGCCTTTTCTAGCGTGTGCTTCGGGGTAGCGGGGTAAGAGTCCACGTGCAGAGTGTGTGTGTGTGTGTGTGTGTGTGTGTGTGTGTGTGTGTGTGTGTGTGGTGTGGTGTGTCCGTCCGTCTGTCCGTCCCCAGATCAGTGGTGATGCTAAAGCAGCATGGAACATAAAACTTCCAGACCTGTGACTGATCTGCCTGTACTCATCTGCCTGGAAGGACCCGGTGGTGGGCGATTCTGCCTTGCCAAAGTACCTTGCCTGAGAGGGACATGGTGTGGGTAGTCCTTACCCTGAATTTAAAGAAGTCAAAGGCCTCCAAAGGGCAGTATTGTCATTAAACCACAGGACCTGGGAGCCGCCTTCCCCCCTGATAGCTATTCTTCATTTGGTTTCCAGGTATTTTGGACTAGGTCATTCCATGCTCCTCTGCCTGTGGCTGTAAGAGATTTTGGCAGGTGAATGGTGACATTTGTCGAAGGCAGAGTGTGTGAAGAGAGGGAAATTTGCACCAGTCAGGATCCTTCTGAGCATTCCTGCTCTCCTGTCTTACTGGTGGCCTAGTGTGGTTGTCTTTTTTCTTTTTCTGTTCTCAGGGATAGGTTTAGCTGCTATCACCTGATCTGTCAAGTCTGTCCTAGCTGTTCTCTTATGACCAGCTGAAAATCTTGACTTCCTACCATGAAATGAAAGTATTTTTTTAAAAATGGTATAAATGGCAGTAAAGGAGAAGAGAAATTGTCCACAGCAATTGAAAAATTTTACTCACTGAAATATTCTCAGCATTGGGCACCTTGTTTCTGGTCAGCCTCTTAGCCTGGGCTGTACGTTCTTATCCAGTTCCACATCATCTCAAGTAAAATTCCACCTTGGCAACAATTCTAATTTATTTCCAGGAACCTCGCACTTAAAATAGGTCTGGATCAAGAGTGGCACTCTGAGGTAAGGAAGAGTACCTTGTTTATTCAGAAACGTGTTTCTGACAAGTTGTGAGGCAATCATGTCTCTGTTAATGGAATTGTACATTACATGCTATCTGTTAAAGGCACACCATAGTGAATCTTTATAAAATGAAAAGAACATCTGAACCATAGCTATGCATGACGTGATTTATTAGAGAGGAAGTACTTGGTGATCAGCTCCCTGCATGTGTAATTGTGTACTGATAATACCAGCGTTGACATTCCATGGTGTGACAGAAGCTATTTGGTCCTTTTAGCTCACAGATGAGCATAAGCAATGGCAGAATGTCTTTCTCTGAAAGACCCGGACTATCTAACTACTAAATGGTTTGCATTGCAGAATGATTTATGTATAAGAAAGGTCCAGGTGTTTGACCCTCTTTAATTTCCATATCTCCCTCTGAGATTAACAGTCTAGACTGCCCAGCATAGGCACTGATAAATAGAGGGAGCTCTGCAAATTAGCAGTAAATATTAAGAAAGTGATTTTTTTTCCTTTTTAGTTTAGAGAGCAAGAAAACAACCCTTTTTTTCATGTGGGAAAAAACAGATTTGGCTATAACAAAATAGTATAGATTGGGTAGTTTTTTGGTTTTGTTTTTATTTTTATTTTTTGTAATTGTAGATGGACAGCATACCTTTATTTTATTTGTTATGTGGTACTAAGTGTCACACACATGCTAGGCAAGCACTCTGCCACATAGCAATAACCCCAGCCCGTAGAATGGGTAGTTTTTAAACAACAGAAATTTGTTGGTTCTGGTTGTCAGGTAACCTCTTAGGTATTTTCCAGTTCTAGATTCCTAAGATGCTGTGATGGTCTATATAAGCCAAAAGAGGCCCCTTGCCATCTGATATTCATTGTGTATAATCGTGTGCCTTTCCATTTGAGTACATGGTATCTCTCTTTGGGGAAAGGGTTGACAGAGCAGTCTTCTGAGAGAGAATGCATTTTTTTTTCTACGCTATTCAGGTCAAAGAGGGAGCTCACATTTAGCTCTTGGAAAGAGGATGATAGTTTTGGGTGCTTTTCTTAGACACACAGCAGGAAAAAATGCCTCTTATAGCAGTTAATGAGGTTGTCCAGTAGCCATCTTTTAGGAGCACAGATGCACATAGGTTTAGTCGCGGCTAGAATATAAGAAGAGGTAAAGAAAAGTTAAAGGAAAACTGTTTATTCACAACACTGTCTACATTCGATGCATGGGTTTTCCACACTAAGCAGTTGTTCAAATCTATGCAAACATCAGCTGGGTGTCCTACAGTTTAATTAAATTCAGGCATTCCACCAAGTTTGTGAAGATTCCACAGGTTAAGGACTCTGTTAAAGCTCTCTCCTACTTTAAATGCCAATTGTAAGTAGTGGTTCCCCTCATTCACCACACCTCTGGCAGACTTGGCTAAAAATCAGAGATTCCCACAACCTTCTCCTGAAGGATACAAATCAACCGCCAGAGAAAGAGATAGAGAAGGCAAGATCTGTGTGGGTCCCAAGCACAGGAGCTTCCATCTGGTAGGATTAGGGTGATTCATCCTCCTAGCACATGGATGTGATGACCAACCCAGAAACTTTCCAAACTTCTTCATTTAGGATTCTTATGTAGGTACCATTATGTGGTACTGAATACATTGGCCACTAGTGAAGTCTCTAGCCCTTTCTCCTCCCCAGAGGTCAGATTGGGGTGGGAGTGCATTGGAAAGAGTTGTGTTCATCTGAAAGCTTCTCTGCAACTAACCTAGTCTCCAAAATAGGTAGTTGAAGATGGTGATCAGGCCAACTGAATTAGTGACTTGTCCCTGGTGTGGCACGTGGAATGGTTTTCCATCTGGATCCTTTGGTGACAGTCCCCTAGTTTCTTGCTGCTTGATTGGTAGTCTAATTCACTTTTGAATTTTTATAGCAGTCTCCTAACAAATTATGAAAGGCTCCTTGGGGGATTTGTTCTCAGTGTTATAGCAATATCATATAATGAAATTAAGTCACAAAAACAGGAGTTTTTGAAGAGGCAGTAGGAAAAGGAAATGTCTCTGGATGAATGCATACTGAAGGCCACTGTGATGGTGAGTCAAGAAGCAATGACCTCTTTCCTGTGGCCCATTTTCTAAAGAGGCAAAGCACATACCTTTCCACAGCTTTTCTGTCTCTACTTAGATGTGGTGGATCTCTAAGGGGTTAGAAAGAGTGCATGGAGAGTTGGGATGAACCCAGATATTATCATGGTTACCCCTGTGTCCCGACCGGCAGGACATCAACGAGGGCGGCGAACCTAGGCGGGGAGGAATGAAGGGACAAGAGACACGAGGGATGACAGCAAGACAGGAGTTCTGATCAAGCTGCAAATTTTTATTGTTCACACAGAGGTATTTATATGCTGGGGATAGGGAAGCTCTCCTATTGGCAGTTGCTGGGCGTAGGCTGTGAAACTGCCAGAGGTGAGATAATCCACAAGATGGCCGCAGGCTGTTTCTTGTAAAGGTCAGGCTGTTCTTAGAAGGAGAACTTCCTTCTAGCCCCTGACACCCCTGTTTAATAACCTTCATTGACTCTCCCCTACCTGGAGACTAGACATCTGGTTTAGTATAGGAGGACCTCCAGGGTCTGCATCAACCCTATGCAATATAAACTTCTAGTTACACTGGGAATAGTCTTCTGAATGAGGCTTTGTTCCTTCTACCTGCATACCCTTCCTCCCCCTTCTCCCTTCTCATATGGTTAGCTTTGACCCATCCTTCAATACTGACCCCATGTGTCATGACTTCTTAGTGGTTCTCAATTTGGCTGAATATTAAAATCAGGAAGAGCTCTTAAAAGTCTTTTGACCGGGTCAAAACTCTGAACCAACCCATCACAATCCTTGGGGTCTGGGCCAAAGTATAAGTATTATTGTTGTCATTTTTAAATCAATCTCAAGTGATTGTTGTGTGCAGCCATGGTCACATACCACGGCACTGGATAGTGACCACCACACTCTTCTTTATAAATGTAGCAGCTGACATAGTGCCTGGCACATGGGAAATCTGCAGTGAATGCTTATTGAATGAGAGAGTGAAGGAGCCATTGCTGAGCTGCTTTGCCTTTTTAAAAGTTACATTTCTGAGATTTCCTCCTCTACTGGTTTTAACAGTGCCTTGAGGACTAGATCCTTTAACTTGTGACTTGTATTAACTCCTTTATTCATTCCTTGGTTTTATTCAGTTTGTTTTATTTTTTAATTAAAGTTTAAAACTTTAATTTGTTTCATATAAAAGTAATACCTGATTATTTTAGAAAATTTGTATATTAGGAAGAATAGGAAAAAAACCTACTCACACTATCTAGAAGCAAACTGGTCCCTTATTTCCTTAACTTTTCCTAATTTGTTGTCCTTTGGGGTTGCTTGACCCCTGGCATGCCTGAGCAAGCTCAATTGATGATCTTTACTCAGAGCCTGCAAACTACCCTCTGAGAGTCAGAAGAGGAGTGTCCCATGAGAACTGCATTCTTGGGAGCCATGGGGGTTAACTCTCTGAGGACCAATATATCATGAGAAAGAGTTGTCTTGTTCTATTCTTGCCTTCCTCATTTAGGCAGGATGTCTGGGTCTTATCAGAAAAAAAATTATAACATTTATGTAACTTCTTTAAAATAATCACTTAAATGTTTGCCAGTCACTCCCCTACTACCCCACACTTCTAAAATATGGGATGAAGTCGTAGCTCTAGATAATTGTGTTTATGTCTTACTCGGGATAGCTAAACTCAAATGTCAGTGATTTAACACAGCAAAGGCTGTGTTTCTTTCTGGTGTTATATTCTAGCACTGGATTTAGAAGGGCTCTACTCCATGTGGTCATGGAAGCTCCTGGCTTCTCCATCCCCTGGTTTCACCGTCTTCCATGGGCTCGAATTCTT